TTCACACATCTGAAAACAGTGTAGCTCGTTGCAGAAGCTACAAAACTGACCTTCCTTTGAGCAGATTGAGTTTCTGGAGCATCACATTTGTGGGGTCAGTTAAACGCTCAAAATGGCCAGAAAAAGATAACTTTTATCTGAAACTCCACAGTCTATTCTTGTTCTTAGAAATGAAGGCTATTCCATGCGAGAAATTGTTAAGAAATTGAAGATTTCCTACAGTGTGTACTACTCCCTTCAGAGGACAGCACAAACAGGCTCAATAATTTATATGAAGAAAGACAAGATGATTTTCTGATTACTGCTACTATTTAATGTTGATCAGTCCATCCACCCAACCATCCATCCATCCATCCATCTGTCCATCTATCCATCCGTCCATCCATCCATCCATCAGCCCGTCCATCCATCCATCCGTCTGTCCGTCCGTCCGTCCATCCATCCATCCATCCATCCATCCATCCATCCATCCATCCGTCCATCCATCCATCTTCTCCGCACAGTAATTTAAGAGTTATGGATGCCAGTGTGTTAAGTAAAAACACCTAAATGAGATCATGAGCCATTTCCTTGATTCCTCTCTTCTTGTACATTTATTGTGGTTCCTTATTCAAACATGAAACCATTATGCGCCTTTGCTTCGGTGGAGGCATTTAAATGCTATAAACTTGTTTTAAATCTAAAATACCCAGTTTGATAGATACACTACTGCATGCTTGAAAATTGTGCCTGACCTTCATTTTTCAAGGAGATTAAAGATTTACTATGAGATGCCATTAAAGCTTTTACTTAACTCTGAGCTCCAAATAAACAGGGATGCATATTTTGCTGGCCAACCTTTCACCTCCATCATTTTAGCGTTTATCAATTAAAATGCAAGAAGGTAAAGCGCTTTTGCTGGAAAGTGGCCCTCCCTCTTTACCCCACTTATATCTACTCTGTGGCAGCGTGCCCACTGTCTTCTAGCTAATAACACTCTGCCGCTGTTATTGATGGAGCACTTTTAATAAAGACTTATTTGGATGCTTCTCCTTATGTACATCCAGCTCCTACTTTGACTGGTGTGACACATGGAGAACACTTGAAGAATCTTAATAAGCTTGTTTTTTATTCTTTAATTTATTGATAGCTTATTATTGAGACCAGTTAATTTTCTAAAGCATGTGGAAGACATTATTCCAAAAAATTTGGATTTTTTTTTATCTTTTAGTGTGAAACTGCTTTGTGCTGCTACAAGGGTTCTTTGTTCTGAACTTCTGTCCAAAATGATAGTATAGCATTATGCTAAACAATAACTAAAGCTGGAATTAAAATGACCTTTTGAGTGTTATGTTTCTTTGATAAAAAGGGTGTAAAATACAGTATATTTTCATTCATCTTAGGTTCTATTAACATTTAAGTACTATTTTTGTCCCTCTTTTGCTGTGAAATCTCATTCAAACGACAGCAATAGATTTATTGTAGATATGGTCTTTGTTCAAATCTGGAATTTGATTTCTCTTTTTTCCAGACCTGGAAAAGTATGGTTAAAGAAAATGAGCATATAAAACTATATGTATATGTAAATTATATTTTAGACATTATTCCCTATCCCATTGTCTAAAAAGTCTTTCTTCAATTTATTCTATACTTTCTTTCCCTCTCATGTATTTCCCCGATTCATGTATTATCCTCATTTTTTTTTGGTGCACTTTTTTTTATCCATCCTTTTTTTGATTTAATTTTTATTAAATTCTTTTATTTATTTATTTTTTCTCCCTCTTTGTGTTCTTCTTTTCTGGGAGTTTTTCTTCTTTCCTTCCATAGATCCGACTGCATACTCCTCCTTCAATTCTTGCGTTCTTACATGTACTAAATCTTTCTTTCCTTCCTTCCTTCCTTC